CTGACTGTCAAACGTGCAAGCATCTTAAAAATCCTTTCTTCCACAATGATTTCAAAGAATGTGCAGACACCTGGATTTCTCAGATCCACTTTGCCAGTGATTCACAAGCAATTGATTCACAGGTCTTGTCAGGAGGTACGTGTGAGTTGAGGAATGTGGTTCTAACTTACTCTAAAATTGTCAGAGTACATTAGTGCTTTATTATCTAATAATTGTATGATTATTCTTTCAATACGAGTTCATTCTTAATGATTCCAACTTTCTGAGATACTAAACAGAATTTAGGAAGACAGAAAAATTAGGAACATATATTTTTGTATTTAGTCTAAAAAATTCCACAACACTGTATTGACCTGTCTAGAGAACTTCTCATGTGAAAAGATAACTGTAAGTTTGAATGTGTATATGAGTCAAAGTGTCTGGGATAACAACAGAAAAGTAATGTTGCCAGTGTATTCTGTACAGGAAAAACTGCACCTAGAGTAATCTGTTAAAATTGAGGTATTATATTCTAAAATAGACATTGCAAAAGCTATCCCAGGTAAATACCTGGAAGTTGAGCACTTTGGAAAATTCATACATGAATGCATAAAATAACTAGAGAAGTGTGACTGGTATAGAGAAAGAGGAAAGATAACCTTGCAGTCATATTCACATTATGAAATGTTGAATGTTGCAAAGAGAGAAAACTGGTTCCAAGCAGATTTGGAAGGCAAGGAAGGAAACTGCATGAAGCAGCTTTAATCTAAGCTATCGCAGAGCTTCCTAACAACAGGCTGCTGCATTGAAGGAGCGTGGAGCAAGCTCTTTTCTTTGGCAAAAACTTTGCCAGTGGTCATATGGAAGCAGGCAAAGGCTGCAGCTTACAACTTAGGGATTATCTTGTCACTCGTTTTAAAGGATGGGCTGGGTGATCATCACAGTCCTGGGCAAGCATTGTGTTCTATGCTCCAATTGTAGTGATGTGGGAGGAAATTATTTGCAGCCATCCGTACTCAACCAACATGTACCCCTTATAAAATAGTAGAGAATATTTACAAATGTCAGGATAATATAAATGTGTTGATTTATCTCTTGGTGTATTGTATTGTATTATGCAATAAAAAATATTTTACGTAAGCCTAGAAAATTTTATTCACTAAAATTATGTCTATTTTATCCATTAACTTTTTTTTTTCTAATTTTCTTTTCTTTTCTTTTCTTTTTTTTTTTTTTTTTTTTGAGACGGAGTCTCGCTCTGTCACCCAGGCTGGAGTGCAGTGGCCGGATCTCAGCTCACTGCAAGCTCCGCCTCCTGGGTTCACGCCATTCTCCTGCCTCAGCCTCCCGAGCAGCTGGGACTACAGGCGCCGCCACCTCGCCCGGCTAGTTTTTTTGTATTTTTTAGTAGAGACGAGGTTTCACCGGGTTAGACAGGATGGTCTCGATCTCCTGACCTCGTGATCCGCCCGCCTCGGCCTCCCAAAGTGCTGGGATTACAGGCTTGAGCCACCGCGCCCGGCCTTTTTTAAATTTTCTCAAAATTTGCAGGCGAAGCATACTCCTGCTCTTCAAAGGAGTTTAGATTTTCTGCAAGCTTAATTGCAATGCACACCTTTTTCTGAGAATTTCTACTAAGTAACATTTCTTTCAAGTCAAAGGACATCTGGGGGAAAAGATAGACTTTAACTGCTGATGCAACTTCGCTGGGAGCGCCTGGGTTTACAGACCTTTTCGGAAGATCAGGAGGTATTTGCAATTTAAATTCATAGATTTTAGTTGAATTTGTATATTGCTTAAATGAGAGATTGAGAATTCGTACCCATTTACCAATAGTTTTGAAATAATTTCCAGTATCTTACGTTTTACTTTGTATTATATAAAATATTTTTACTTGTAACTGTACACTTCTTATTTGATTCTTAAAGTAACCCTGAATGTTTCATTATCTCAATTAATATAAGCAGATACTGAGGCTCAGGGTGTTTAGGAAGAGAATCCAAGGTCACAGAATTAATTAATGTCATGACCAGAGGAAGAACTCAATTCATTTAATTCTAAATTTTGTTTTACTGTATGTTGCCTTCATCATTTCAGAAACAAATGCCTATATAAAGTCACAGAATCATTCCAAACATTTTCTGATTATTTTTACGTGTACTAAACCATAGCAAAGCTGTGTGATCTATGCGCAGGAGAAATTCAACAAGTATAATTCCTTACTGTGCTCGCTCTAGTGAGAGAGCAGATAATAAATTTAACAAAACATTTACTTAAAATCATAATGTACTTTGAGGAGGGCTTGTTCTCTGACAAATTAGACCTTTTGTGTGCAGATTGGAAAAGTAAGGCCAGTTGGCTGCAAAATGGAGTCGACTTTAGAATTTCCCTTTGTATTGCTAGGTCTACAGGGCTAGCTGGCCATAGAAAAAGCTAGAACCACTGAAGAATTACATATATACATATATAAATCTATGGGAGGAGATTGTGAATATATATACATATATATAATGGATAAAAGATCATCCTTTATGTTCTTGAAGTTTGTTGTGGATTTTATTGTAACCTGAAATTGTGTAAAACAGTCACTCGGTTTTTCTTAATTACCAGAACTATGGAAAAATTCCAACTTCCAAAAATAATCGGGGAGTTACAGCTCAATATGTATGTCCCTGTGCTATTATATGTGTGTGTGTGTGTAACATGGGGGTGAGCGTGAACAGAGAGCAGAGACCTGGGGTGAAAGGTGTGAACAGAGAGCAGAGACCACTATTACATATACGTATATGTGTGTGTGTAACATGGGAGTGAGCGTAGAATGGAGAGCAGAGACCACTATTACATACACGTGTGTGTGTGTAACATGGGGGTGAGCGTGAACAGAGAGCAGAGACCACTATTACATATACGTGTGTGTGTGTGTAATATGGGAGTGAGTGAACAGAGAGCAGAAACCACTATTACATATACGTGTGTGTGTGTAACATGGGAGTGAGCGGAACAGAGAGCAGAGACTCACTATTACATACACGTGTGTGTGTGTAACATGGGGGAAAGGAACAGAGAGCAGAGACCACTATTACATACACGTGTGTGTGTGTAACATGGGGGTGAGCGTGAACAGAGAGCAGAGACCACTATTACATATACGTGTGTGTGTAACATGGGAGTGAGCGTGAACAGAGAGCAGAGACCACTATTACATACACGTGTGTGTGTGTAACATGGGGGTGAGCGTGAACAGAGAGCAGAGACCACTATTACATACACGTGTGTGTAACATGGGTGAGTGAACAGGAGAGCAGAGACCACTATTACATATACGTGTGTGTGTGTGTAACATGGGAGTGAGCGTGAACAGAGAGCAGAGACCACTATTCCCACACACGTGTGTGTGTAACATGGGGTTGAGCGTGAACAGAGGAGCAGAGACCACTATTACATATACGTGTGGAATATGGGGGTGAGCGTGAACAGAGAGCAGAGACCACTATTACATATAATGGTGTGTAACATGGGAGTGAGCGTGAACAGAGAGCAGAGACCACTATTACATATACGTGTGTGTGTAATATGGGGTGAGCGTGAACAGAGAGCAGAGACCACTATTACATATACGTGTGTGTGTGTGTAACATGGGAGTGAGTGTGAACAGAGAGCAGAGACCGCTATTATATATAATGCAGTATGTGTAACATGGAAGTGTGAACAGAGAGCAGAGACCACTATTACATATACGTGTGTGTGTAACATGGGGGTGAGCGTGAACAGATTGCAGAGGCTGCTATTTGACTTTGCGAAGCAGCACGATTTTCCCTCTATTTCTGCTGTCTTATCGCAGGATAAAAGTCAAACCCAAAATGCAGGAAGTGTGGAAGTAGCTGAAATACTGCTAATATTTAGGCTACAACATAAACTAGGGATCAGTTTCCCTTTAGAAATATATTTTAATAGGCTCCATTAATGAAATTTTAAAAAAGTAAAAGTCAAATGAGGGAGGTATATGAATATATAATGAATCAAGACTCTCTGGTCCAGACACTCCTCGCACGAACAGACCCCGTGACCACAACACATCACCCTCGATGCTGTCGCTGGTGAACGGGGTTTTACAGCTCCTCACTTCTTAGTTCTATCGTGAATATCAGGGAGTCAATAGAAACAAAGCACTTCTTAGCCTGACACTTGGCAAAAGTAAACTCCACGATGTCATCATCATTAATCTCAGTAGCAACTTCTTTTTCTGGGCAACGGACTCAAATGCTAATATTTTTAGAATATTTAGAGGAGCATGAGACTAGTTTGATCAATTTTACCCCCAAATATGTTGGTAAAATATCTGTCTTGGAACACGTTTAGCCTTAAAACATGTGAAACATCATCCTTTACTTTCATGAAGTTTGTTGTGGACATTGGTTTTTTATTGTAACCTGAAATTGTATAACACGCACTCGGTTTTTCTTAATCATCAAGAACTATGAAAAATTCTAATTCCCAAAAATAATCAGTGAGTTATAGCTCAAGGTTTATGTCCCTGTGGTATTTCCTCTGAAAATTAATTGCTAATACTAGTTTCCAATGGTCACGCTAATCATAATCCTAATGCTAATTCCTCATCTTAAAATTGAAAATAAATAAAATTCAGTAACACTGAATGCCTCTTGTATTGAGAATAATTTTTTGTGTCTAAATTTGCAAGAGTAGTTTCCACTGAGTTTCTGTTGCCGTTTTTATTTCATCCCTTATAATTTGTCTGGGACATGGATAGACTAACACCAAGTAAACTCTCATGACGTAGGCAGTGACTTGTGATCCAAACGGCAGATAACCCATACTTGTAGCTAAGTGGAACACATGAGCTACTCACAGCCAGCACCAAAGATGTTTTGAAAGTGGTGGTGATGCCGACCACCGAAAGATGCATTAAATAATAATACAAATTTAAATGCATCTAAAGTAATACACACACACACACACACACACACACACACACACACACACACACCCCAGGCCATGGTATGTTTAACTGCTGTGTAGCATGGTATGCACCCTTAGGCATTGTAATGTATATCATTGTAATACAGTATCATCTGCTGACATCATCTTCTCCAATGTATTTAAGCAATTATTGATTAATAATGACCAATTTTATTTAAAAACTCTTCGGAATAGATTAAATGCTAGATATCAGTCCCAGTGTACCAAGAATACTATTTTTTAAATGTTTTCTTCCCAGTTTTAAAAGTTTGCTGCCTAACAATTAATTCAAATGTTGTTATTTTACTGCCCTGGGAATGCTGTCATCTTATTCGGAAGATACTACCTGATATCAGCACAATTGTAGGATCAATGGAAGAGCACAACACATCCTCTACAGACTTCGCTTTCATGGGGCTGTTCGACAGAAAGGAAACCTCAGGTCTTCTTTTTGCCATCATCTCTATCATCTTCGTCACCGCACTGAGGGCCAATGGGGTTATGATCTTCCTGATCCAAACAGATTTGCGCCTTCATACACCCATGTACTTCCTCCTCAGCCACCTTTCCTTAATTGACATGATGTACATTTCCACCATTGTGCCTAAGATGCTAATTGATTACCTGCTGGATCAAAGGACCATTTCCTTTGTGGGGTGCACAGCTCAACACTTCCTCTACCTTACCCTTGTGGGAGCTGAATTCTTCCTGTTGGGCCTCATGGCCTATGACCGCTATGTGGCCATCTGCAACCCTCTGAGATACCCTGTCCTCATGAGCCGCCGAGTCTGTTGGATGATTATAGCAGGTTCCTGGTTTGGGGGCTCTTTGGATGGCTTCCTCCTAACTCCCATCACCATGAGCTTTCCCTTCTGCAATTCCCGGGAGATCAACCACTTCTTCTGTGAGGCTCCGGCAGTCCTGAAGTTGGCATGTGCAGACACAGCCCTCTACGAGACAGTGATGTACGTGTGCTGTGTTTTGATGCTGCTGATTCCTTTCTCTGTAGTCCTTGCTTCCTATGCCCGAATCCTGACCACAGTGCACCGCATGAGCTCAGTGGAGGGCAGGAAGAAGGCCTTTGCCACTTGTTCATCCCACGTGACTGTGGTGTCCTTGTTCTATGGGGCTGCCATGTACACCTATATGCTACCACACTCCTACCACACGCCTGCCCAGGACAGAGTCCTCTCTGTGTTTTACACATTCTCACACCCATGCTGAACCCCTCACCTACAGCCTTAGAAACAAGGATGTGACTGGAGCTCTGAAGAGGGCCTTGGGGAGGTTCAAAGGTCCTCAAAGGGTGTCAACAGGTGTCTTTTGATAGTCGACTCCTTCCCATGCGTGTGGTAAATGGGAGACTCTGTGGTCACTGTGGCTGTGCTTTCATTGAAAGATGAAGCAAAAAGGGAGGGAGTGATATGATTACCATATTGGTTTTTTGTCTAGGGTTTCTGGTTCATAACTCCATGGTTATGTTCCAATGTTGTGGTTCTTGAGGCCTCAGAAAACCGAATCTCTCTCTGTGATCTTTGCCTTCCCTCTTTTCACCTGCTTCTTTTTCTCCCCAAAGAAAACCTTAGAAACAAAAAATATAATCCAATCTTTGCCCACTTTTTATCACAAAGAAATTATCTGACTACCTTGTCTGATTGCAGGTCACAAGACCTCTGTTTATTACGTATTGCTCAATTATTGATTAATAATGACCAGTTTTATTTAAAAACCTTCTGGAATTGATTAAATGCTAGGTATCAGTCCCAGTGTGCCAAGAATACTATTTTTTAAATGTTTTCTTCCCAGTTTTAAAAGTTTGCTGCCTAACAATTAATTCAAATGTTGTTATTTTACTGCTCCCAAGCTGTCATCTTATTTGGAAGATATTACCTGATATCAGCACAATTGTAGGATCAATGGAAGAGCACAACACATCCTCTTACAGATTTCGCTTTCATGGGGCTGTTCGACAGAAAGGAAACCTCAGGTCTTCTTTGCCATCATCTCTATCATCTTCACACCGCACTGATGGCTAACAAGCAGGATCTTCCTGGATCCAAACAGATTTGCGCCTTCATACACCCATGTACTTCCTCCTCAGCCACCTTTCCTTAATTGACATGATGTACATTTCCACCATTGTGCCTAAGATGCTGGTTGATTACTTGCTGGATCAAAGGACCATTTCCTTTGTGGGGTGCACAGCTCAACACTTCCTCTACCTTACCCTTGTGGGAGCTGAATTCTTCCTGTTGGGCCTCATGGCCTATGACCGCTATGTAATATTTGCAACCTCTGAGATACCCTGTCCTCATGAGCCGCCGAGTCTGTTGGATGATTATAGCAGGTTCCTGGTTTGGGGGCTTCTTTGGATGGCTTCCTCCTAACCCCATCACCATGAGCTTTCCCCTTCTGCAATTCCCGGGAGATCAACCACTTTTCTGTGAGGCTCCGGCAGTCCTTGAAGTTGGCGTGTGCAGACACAGCCTCTTAAAGGAGACAGTGATGTACGCTGTGTTTGATGCTGCTGATTCCTTCTCTGTAGTCCTTGCTTCCTATGCCTGAATCCTGACCACACAGTGCACCGCATGAGCTCAGTGGACGGCAGGAAGAAGGCTCTTGCCACTTGTTCATCCCACGTACTGTGGTGTCCTTGTTCTATGGGGGCTGCCATGTACACTCATATGCTGCTCACACTCCTACCACACACGCCTGCCCAGGACAAAGTCCTCTCTGTGTTTTACACCATTCTCACACCCATGCTGAACCCCCCCTACCACAGCCTTAGAAACAAGGATGTGACTGGAGCTCTGAAGAGGGCCTTGGGGAGGTTCAAGGGTCCTCAAAGGGTGTCAAGAGGTGTCTTTGATAGTCGACTCTTCCCATGCGTGTGGTAAATGAGAGACTTGTGTCACTGTGGTTGTGTTCATTGAAAGATGAAGGCAAGGAGGGAGTGATATGATTACCATATTGGTTTTTTGTCTAGGGTTTCTGGTTCATAACTCCATAGTTATGTTACAACGTTGTGGTTCTTGAGGCCTCAGAAAACCGAATCTCTCTCTGTGATCTTTGCCTTCCCTCTTTCACTCGTTCTTTTTCTCCCAAAGAAAGCTCTTGAAAGTAAAAATATAATCCAGTCTTGCTCACTTTTGGTCACAAAGAAATTATCTGACTACCTTGTCTGATTGCAGGTCACAAGACCTCTGTTTCCAAAAGAGGCCCTCTCATACCTCCCGAGGAGGGAACACTACACAGAGGGGCCAAGAAGAATCTGATCAGACAGGCTCTCATGGGTGTCCCCACTCACTCTATCAACACTAGGTCATACTGTGTCCAGTCATTTCTATGCAATTGTCCACTACTAATCATGACTATTCAATAAAGTCTCCACATAGAGGCCAAAAGGAGAGGACAGAAAACTTCCGGAAAGCTAAACTCATGAAGCTGAGCAGGAGGGTGGTAAGAACCCACCCACCTGCCTGGAGGTTGGCATGCCCCAGTTCCACAGAGACAGAAGCTCTTATGCTCTCCTAGACCTCACCCTGGTGTCTTTCATCTGGTTACTTTCTTATGTATCCTGTGTAATATCATTTATAATAAATGGTAAACGTAGGAAAGCATTTCCCTTGAGTTCTGTGAGCTCTATAGCAAACTAACTGAACCTGGCAAGGCCGATCTCAATGAACAATCACTTGGTCAAAAGCACAGGACAACTTGGGGCTTGTGATTGGCACTGGAAATGGAAGGCAGTATTGTGACTGAGCCTCACCCTGTGGGATCTGGACGCCATTCCGTATACAGATCGTGGCAGATGGTCGTGTGGACTTTAGCTTGGGCTAGAGCATTTGATCAGGATAGTGGCAGAATGAATTGATTTGGAGGACCCCCAAATGGTGTCCCTCCTTACCTTAACTCCCTCTTACCTTAACTCTCGAGCGTTTTTTCTACCGACTTCACGTCTTTAGCTTAACTCTTTCAACCAATTGCCAATCAGAAAAATCTTTGCGTCCACCTGTGACTCATCAGCCTTCCAATTTTCATGTCCTTGCTTTTCAGGCTGAAACAATGTGTATTTTACATGTTTTGATTGATGACTTTGCATGTAAGTTCTTTCCCTAAGTTTTAGGGAGACAGAGGTTACCTTGGGCACAGTTTCTCAGGATCGTCTGAGGCTTTCCCCAGGCCATCATCACTCACATTGGCTCAGAATAAACCTCTTTAAATACTTTACAGTGTTCGGCTTTTTCATCAGATGCAAACTTGACATACCAAATACGCTGAAGAAAATTGAGAAACTGGAAGAGTGTAGAAAGGTAATCTTTCTGATGTTTCTGCCCTTCTCCCTTGAGAGCTGTCCACAAAAGAATTCTCAGACCTACCTCTTCTGAAAGAAGGTAACAAGCCCCTTATTCCAGAGGGGTCTCTGACCAATGCCCAGAGGGGAAAATGTCACATGGGGGAGGCCACTAGAATCTGAACAAACAAACCTTGCTAAGTCCTCCTCCTCAGTTTATTTCCATTACATCTTATTTTTAAACAATCTAATCATACTTTTAAGGTTTGCATGCCTCATGAAACTTCTATTAAGTAAATTTCTCTACTTTTCTGTTACTAATCTGTCTTTTGTTGGAAGTTACCAGCCATGAACCTTTTGATGAGTATGAAAAAATCTTACTTTCCTCCCCCACCGTATCACTAATTGTAAACTTTGCAAAGTTTTGATACTGTCTATCATCTTACCGTGACCCCATCTTATTCACAGGGAAGTCACAACAAACCTCATGTGGTCTATGCAGTCCATTTCTAGGGGGTTTTGCTTAAAGTTTCTATACTCCTAGATTCTTAGGCTTAGCATCATTACAGAGGGATAAAATGTGTGTCTGAACTGTATCAGTTCATTATATCAGGGATACAAAGTGTCTGTGAACTGTATCAGTACATTATATCAGGGAGATAAGGTGGGCCTGAATTGTATCCATACATTATATCAGGGATAGAATGTGTGTGTGAAGTATATCAGTTCATTATATCAGGGATGTAAGGTGTGTCTGAACTGTATCCCTACATTATATCAGGGATCAGCCATCTATTGAACTATTAAGACCCTTGGGATATATTTGTTTGCAAAACAGGTGCCTGTCCTGTCCCTCATGAAGCTTGCCCATGTAGCCCAGAGGCAGTGAATAATAACAAACAGAATAAGTAAGTTAACTCTAGTTCAGAATGTCAAATGGTAGAGAAAGAGAAAAGTAGAGTAGATTGAGGGAGAGAAAGAATTGCAGAAACTGTGGTCATATTGTTGCTTTTACAACGTCATCGATAGTCTAGATCTCTTTGGAAGGATAACATTGAGCAGTCTTGAGGAGACAGAATTTAGCCTTTGTAGATAGTGTTGGGGTGTGGGAGGGATCCCACGTGTAGAGGGAAAAAAACAAACAAACAAAAACTAGTAGGACAGCCCTGAAGTGAGAGTGTACACAAATATTCAAAGAGTGACAAGAAGCAGATGACTGGAGCAGTGAGGGAAACAATGGTACGTGCAGACATCTATGTCTGGTAATGGGGAGGGGAGAATCGAAAGGGCCCCTTATAGCTTACTGTAAGAATTTTAGATTTTACTCCCAATAAACGGTGAGCTACAATGGGGTTTTAATCACCAAAGTGGCATGATCTGATGTTTCTTCAACTGCTGCTTTAGAAATAAGCCTTAGAGGATTTAGGTGAAGCAGGAACATACCGTAGAAATGGTTGGAACCTAGGTGTATTCTGGGAAGGCAGAGCCAACAGGATTCCCTTTACTAGTTGGATATTGGTTTCTCATGGGAAAGAGAAGCAAGACTAGGCACCCGGCTTGATTGAGTGACTGAAATTGGGGACCTCCTACTAGGGGGGCTAAGGAAAGACACAACTGCAGGAAGTTTAGGGGGGGAAGAAAGAAGCACAGATCCGTTCAGTTTGGTGAATGCCAAGTTTGTTTTGAACTGAAGTCATTAATATATAGATATTATATAAGATACATGGTTATAGCTAAGAACCCCAATGAGCTTGGACAGAGAAAAGGTACAGAGAAAAAAAAAAAAGAAGAGGACCAGTAATCTGAGCTAGGATCCTCTCCAGTACTAAGTGAACCTTGGGGAAATGACACAAGGAGAAAAAAATTAAAAAGGAAAAACAAAACAGTGGGTTAGGAAACTCAATCACAGTTTGATGGACTTGAAGACAGATGAAAATGCAACAAAACAAAACACACATCTTCAGTTGAGGGAATATTAAAGAGACAAACAAGTGAAAAACCAGACAAACAAAACTGTGTTGATGGCCCTAGTACAATAAGGCCTGAAAGGTTTGATTTATCCACATAAAGATCATTGAAATGAGAGGTAAATATCCTGAATAGAGAGGACAGTGGAGGAACTGGGGAGACTAAAAACAGGCAAAGTTTTTGGAGAATGTGACTATAAAGGAGCAGAGATGTCACTGCAGATCTGGGAAAATAAATTCACTGCTGTATTGGGAAAACTGTTTGTTCATATGGAAAATGGAACATTTGCCTAAGGTCACATACTGTACCACAAATATGTTTTAGGTGAGTTAAAAACTAAAAGGTGAAGAAAGGAAAAATAAACTATGAGCTTTTACAAGATAAGATATGTGATAATATTTTTCTTGACTTTAAGTTATGAACACATTGCTTAAGACACAAAAAGAACTAATATAAAGTAAAATATTGGTAATTCGATTTACAAATGAACAATTTAAACACTTGGATAGGTCACAAATCCAGTGATGTAAATAAAACTGGAAAACAAAATAATTCAGCACATGTATAAAAAAATTCTTATGTGTCTATAACAAAAGGCCAAAATTTGATAGCAAATGGGAAAAATACTTGAATAAAAACAAATGTATCTGTCTCAACTTATTAAAGATACCATTCAACAGAATTTCAAAATTATTTTTGAATTTCAAAATTATTTTTGAAATTCAAAAGAATTAAAATCATGAACTCAGAAAATTGTGCAACAGTATTCATAGCTCCATTATTTACAATAGCCAAAATGTTGTGTCCATCAATAGACAAATACATAAGCAAAATGTGATGTATACAAACAATGTGACACTATTCCACCTTCAAAAGGAATGAAACTCTGATATTTTCTGCCACATGAACGAACCTTGAAAATGTTATGTGAAGTGAAATAAGCATAAAGGCAAACATTGTATGATTCCATACATATGAGAGGCACTCTGTTGGAGGCCTAAAGAGTGAGGGTCATCATCGACTCAGGATACCACGGGAGGCTGAGTAAGCCACAAACATGCTTCTCATAAATGTGCAGAATGTTGGCAAACGGACAAACCGCGTTTCATGAGCAGGAGGTTATACTGAGGGCAGCCACGCCCTGTGCACGAGTGTTTGTCATTAGGTACGTCTTGAAAGTTTGGGATGGCAATAACGTGAACCTGTGATCAATCACGTGGCTGACCAATCGTGACCTCCTCCTCCTGCTCTTTCTACTCAATAACACGAGGCTGTAGACGCCGGTGGCTGCCCTCACCACTGAAGTTGGGGATCTCTTCTTCCCTCAAGCTTAGCCTTTCCTTCAGAGGTTGTCTTTTGTCTTTTGTTACCATTTCCTACGTTCATTTCTCGTTTCAGTCCTGTAATGACAGTCTCGTTAGTAACAGTAACTGCTGTAGTGATGGTCTCAAGCAGTAATAGTACGAGTCTGTCACAAGTGGTGCCTGAACAAGGGACCTGAAGGACCTGGAAGAGGCCTGGAGGGACAAATAGAGATAAGTAGGGATAAAGACAGGAACTAGCAGGGACCATGGGGGACAGATAAGATAACGACTAGCAGGACTTGGTAGGACAGACAGGGTCCTATAGGACTTG